TCAAACTATTCAACAGATCATAAACAAGTTATATGGCTTGCATTACAAGCTTTGAAATGAATTTTTAAGAATCTTTGTCTGAAGAACTGGCTGAAGGAGTAAATTATTGCTTAAAACAACCCAAGATATCAGTGCAAGTAAATCTGCAATTGCATGGTTCTAAGAGGGGACAAAAAGGAAGTTACATGGTGAGAGTTTCCTTTCTTTCCTCCAGATATTCTCCTTATTTTCTCATTGAATCTGTCTCCATGTCTCTTCTGTCCTTTGGGTTTGTAGTTTCTTCATGCCTTAGCATTCTTTCTTATTTCTTATTTCTCTTCCCCTTTCCATCTTCCCTTCCCCTCTCCCTTCCTCTCTGGTTTTCTTCCACACCTCTTGTCCTCTTGAGTGCCATTGTACCTTTCTGCTCTGAGGACCATGGCTGCCCCTGGGGTTGAAAGGCAGTAAAGCAAGAAGTGGTTGCCAACACATGCTGTGCAGTGCCTTTCCTCCATAAGCAAGTGCTGTAAAAAATCCAAAGTGGAGGATTAAGATACTCATTATGGAGACTGGAAGTCAAGGATATCCTGTTGACATGTGCTACTAGCAGAACCACATGTTCTAGTTGAAAATATAACCCAGTAGTCAGTCAATTTTATTAAATTTAAATGTAAACTGCAGAACTACTCCTATAAACTACAAAAAAATCTAGACATTCATGCAAATTTGCCATATCTTTTTTAAATAAATGGTTACAATTTTCTTATGTATTAATACATTTTCATTTACTTTGAGTTATAGATTTACCGAAGTCTTCAACAAACCAACAAACAAAAAACCATTTTATAATATAAGCCCTTGTATTTTTAAAACATCTAAATGAAATTTAACTCAATGATTACTTACCAGTGATTACTACTATCAAAACTACAGGTTTCCCATCCAGAATTCACAGTCATCCATAGTTTGTAGGCTTGAAAGTCTTACCAAATTATTCAGAGTCGTCTTATTTAACACTCAATACCTCAAGGGAAATACAGTGAAAGCCTACAAGATAAAGTCTCTATGAGACCTTAGAGGGATATATTTTTTCTTAATCTTTACTACCATATGTATGGAGTTGGCTTCTGTTGTCTGAGAAATGATTTTCAACTAGGTACTATCATTCACTGTGGACTAGACAGATTAAACTTCCACATAGTGGATTGTGTTTTCCTTCATGAAACCTGAACTCAGCTCCTAACTTCCTACTTTACTTGAGACCCTGAGTCATCCCAGTCATCATTTTAACAAAAGAAATCTCAATCACTTAAATGACTACTACCTGTACACTATCACCCATAGAATCTGGTTAATTCCCAAATAACCAAATTGACTTGTGTGAGAAAAAAAAGAAAACAACCAACTCTAAAATATTGGCAGCTTACAAACAGACCACTCAGGCCTTATGAAAAGAAGCCAGCCAAAATCGTGCAAGGAGTCGAAATAAAGCCAACTCAACATGTTTGAGTACCAGAGGAATTTTTCAGGTAATAGCTCGTAAAACGAAGGGCACCTTTAGAGTGACAATGTTTATTTCAATAACCTAAACCTCCTTCAGAAAGTAACAATTCTCAGGAGCTTCAAAGGAATACATTGATATGTATTTTATGATAAAATTATAAGTCTTTTTTCCTATAAATGAATTCCAGTATCTGTCATGTTCAATTTTATCTCTGTTTTTGTTTTCTTACTTCAAGATATAACTTCAAATCCTCTTGTGTAATTAGATGGGATTTAAATTGTAAATACATTATGAGAGAAAGAAGTAATATTTTAAGTATCTTGTGTGCGCTAGGTACTTCATCATTTAATCCTCTTAATGCCCTTAAGAACTAGTCACACTTATAAAGGCCCAAACTGAGGCTTTGCAAAGTTGTGAGACTTTCAAGTTTGCACTGCCTATAGGTGATGGAGCTCAACTCTCACCTTCATTAATTTGAGTCTTTAGCATGCTGTCTTTATACTAAAAAAAACCTTTACTTTCATTTTAAAATTATATCATAATACAATATTGTCATGTACTTAAATATGTATAATAAACATATTTGTGCATTATAACAAGTGTTTCCCAGGTTGAAAATTCCCCTATCAAGGCTATCTGTACCTATTCCGATGGAAGAAAGCAGCCATCTGGCATTTCCTATTTTTCTTGTGGTCTTATTTACTCATTGTACTGACTGCATTACAACCATTCGGTTAGCCATTTGTTGTTTTGAGTGTGTGTGTGTGTGTGTGTGTGTGTGTGTGTGTGTGTGTACACATGCCACAGTGTGAGTTTGAAAGTAAGAGGACAATTCAAGGGTCAGTCCTTGTCTTTCATCACATTTGAGACAGGATCCCTTTGTAGCTGTGTAGGCGAGGCAAGCTGGCCTTTGAACATCTAGGGATACTGATCTTTCCATATCTGTCCTTGTTAGGTTACTGTTGTTTTAGAAGTTTGTAGTCAAAAGATTTCTCCAGTCCTGCCAGGCCCCCGCAGTCCTGTGGCCCACTTATAAAATTATCACTCAGAAGCTTATATTAATTATAACTGCTTAGCCATTAGCTCAGGCTTATTACTGACAAGCTCTTATACTTAAATTAACCTATAATTCTTATTTGTGTTTAGCCACGTGGCTTGGAACCTTTTCTCAGCAATACCCTATTCCTGGTATCAATTTCTGTCTTAGGGTTTCTATTGCTGTGGTAAAATAGCATGATCGAACGCAACTGGGAGAAGAAAGGGTTTATTTCATCTTACATTTCCAGATGACACTCCATCAATGAAGGAAGTCAGGATGGGAACTCAGGGCAGGAACGTGGAGGTAGGAACTGAAGCCCAAGCCACGGAGGAGTGCTACTACTTACTGGCTGGCTCCACATGGCTTGTCCTCCAAAGCCTGCTTTCTTATACAGTCCAGGAGCAGAGGCCGAGGGGTGACACCACTCTCAGTGAGCTGTGCTCCTCATACTTCAATCAGACATCAAGAAAATGCCCTACAGCTTCCTGTACAGGAAATCTGATAGAGGCATTTTCTCAACTGAGGTTCCTCTCCCCTACTATCTCCAACGTGTGAAAGGCTGACGAAAGAAAATCTAGCCAGGACAGCATCCCATATCACCATCGCCAGGCTGGGATCACAGATGCATCAATCACGTTGATTCTGGGGATCAAACTTTGGTCCTCCTGCTTACATGAAAGGGTTTTATTGACTGAGCCTTCTCCCTAACCCTCGTCAGCCATTTGGCAGAGCATACGAAAGTACTTGTGGCTGTGCAGAGTCTCTGATGAGAAATTAATATTCTAAGTTATATCACTTAAGCACCAGTGGGTTTATTGCGCTAATTGTGTATTTGGGCACTTAAAATTTATATATGTAAAATTTATATACATATAAAATTCTACCTTAGAAATATTTGTTAAGAGCTTTCAAGCAAGGCTTAGAAACAGACCCTTCCTGGTATTTATCACATTTGCCTGCAACAAAGGCAGAAGTTTAGAAAGGAGGCTTCGTTCTTTTGATGCTCACTCCTCAGCTGAGTCCTTACAGACACAGACAGGTCTGAGCCTGCATTGATAGCCAGGTCCATCCTTTAGGAACTGAATCTCCTGATTCCATTTGACTCAGTTTTCGAAATTACAGTGAGTATCATAGCCATCCCTAAGCATCTTGTGAATATTAAAAACTTCAATGCATGAAATATGCAATGTGTATCGTTTTTGGCATGCTGTAAACATATATAAATATCATGGAGAGATTAAGTGTGTCAAGCTGCATTTTGGTCTTCTCAAGCCCCACCTTCTTCCAGCTCACTGAAAAACGACTTTATATGTTACCTATCAAGTCTTGTTCCCATGAGGAAAAAAAAAATGAAAATATGGGCTTATATTTTCTGGGTGTATGGCCTGAATGCCATGTACTAGTCTGTCTGTTTTGCTCTTTCCATACTTGAATACACTCCTGAATCATCTGTCTGAGGGTCACAAATAAAAGAAAATGCTGTAATGAATTAAGGCTAATTTCTATTTGATATGAGGATGTAGGCCTGGGAGGCAGCATGTATAAAACTCTGATTGTTCAATTTTCTACACTGTAATTTGTCACAGAGAACTAATTTTCAAGAATTCTAAAACTAAAATCCTCCCAGAAAACAGGCATGTCTGCTGATATTTGATAATATCTAGTTGCCAGTGAGATTTTCAAAGTACCCATGCCTGTGTCAATTTCTACATCAAAACACACAGCAAGAGCTCTTGAGTTGGCAATTAATAATAAAACTTTATGGAAGTGGTTCATGGGGCATCATGTGATAGTTACTCTTTACAGTTCATGGCTCCAGTGCTATTGGTTAATTAAAGACATTGCTGAGGATGAGAAAAAACTTGGAAAGGATTGTGGGCCTTTTGTTGTTGATTCTCTTGATAATGAGCTCAGAGATTCAAGAGAACCTTTCAAGTTTCTAGACAACTGAATATATTTTACCTTTGGCTCATTATTTACTTAACTCTAGGTCATTTATTTTGGCAGGAGAAATGCACCTGTTCAATATCAAAAGGCCTATGAATTTCCACCTTTCTTTATTGCCTTACTATACCATTGGAGAGATTTTGTTAAATGCAAAAAAATGATAATTCTCTGCAGATCAGGATCCCCCTCAGCTTCCATGATTTTAGTTTCCATAATTTAAAGTGCACATTGAAAATAAATTGCTTTATTTGATTGCCTGTAGATTTTCCATAATGTAATCCAGTAGAGATATCTGACATTGTATATACATCTGTGAAAAATAATATTTCCATAAATAGCACTGAAGATAACAGAATCTGTGAGCTCATCATCTTAAAGATGTCACCTCATAACAGTTTCCTCACTGCATAAAAATATTAATTTATAATGCAGAATTATGAATTATTCATGTAGAGGCTAGATCTAGCTATTTTAGTTATGGGATGTAAAATTTATTAATTTTTTTCATCTTCTCCTGCTTTGCATGCACAGGACAAAGCCCAGCCTTACCACCACCATCACTGAAAGCACCAGTTTCTAGATCTGCTCTGTCAACACCGGCTCCTGAAGGCAAGTACTTAGTTTTGTGGTGTTTCCCCCTCCACACACACAAATAGTTCCATTGCAGAATTAAGAGAATGTACAGAAACAAAAGAAAATAACAAAATTAACAACAGGTCCAGCATTTTCTTGCCTAAATTTCCTATTCATAAGGCAAAATTTTGTTTTCTTGAAATTTCAATTGATGTCTTTCTAGAAAATAAAAATGTCTTCTTAGAATTTCATACGGTTGAACTCTGTCTTCTTGGAGGAAGATCAGTTTTCTGTCCTGAAAGTAAAGTAAAAAAACTATTGGCACAATGGGCGAGAATATGCCTTGCCATTCTGCAGTTTTATCATTGCTTGGATAATTGGCATTTAAAGACTCAGGTGACAGAGTCTGAATTTGAGTTCCATATGTTATGAATTATCCAAACTTGGGAGTTATTGAAATTGACTACTCATGAGCTCTGCCTTCTAGATGCTATTAGATTTCATGAGCAGACTGTACTTATGAAAAGGATGCAATTATATTTAGTTTGTAAGTGTTGTATGCAATTAGTAATTATAACCAATAGTAATTCTTCAAAATAGGACCTTTGAAGGACAAAACAAGAACAACAAAAAACAAATAAAATAAAAACAAAATATAACAAACAAACAAAATCCCCCAGCAAAATAAGAGAGTAAATCACTGTAATCAGCTTTGTTGGAAATTGACTTATTTCTTCAAGTCTTTTTTTTTTTTTTTTTTTTCGAGACAGGGTTTTTCTGAGTAGTTTTGGTGACTGTCCTGAATCTCGCTCTGCAGCCCAGGCTGGCCTCGAACTCACAGAGATCTGCCTGGCTCTGCCTTCCGAGTGCTGGGATTAAAAGTGTGTGCCACCACCGCCCGGCTTTATTTTCATTTCTTTTTTTGGTTTTTCGAGACAGGGTTTCTCTGTGTAGCTTTGCGCCTCTCCTGGGACTCACTCGGTAGCCCAGGCTGGCCTCGAACTCACAGAGATCCGCCTGGCTCTGCCTCCCGAGTGCTGGGATTAAAGGCGTGCGCCACCACCGCCCGGCTTTATTTTCATAATTTTTAAAGTAAATCCCAACAAGGAGATCATGTAGGACACTTCCCTAATTATCAGAAATCCACTCATTAATTAAAAATACTATTCCTGCCATTATAATTCAGTTCAGTGATGTAAAGTACAAACAATTAACATTAATGCGCGACTAATGTTTTTGATGATCCCAAGAGAAAGAGTTATCACCCCTTTCTGCCTTCTGCTTCCTCCATTCTGAAAGGGACTATGTTTGTACACAGACATGCCGCCCTCCTTATGTAAATTCTGCCCACACCGACTAATGGCTGCCCATTGCGTCTGGTTTCCACACATGGTCACCACGACAGGCTCACACTGGTAAGGCTTCACCGAAGAAGTGCCTATGTAAAAGCAGGAAATATCAGGAGCCCAGGTTTTATGCTTTAAGTTTGATGTCAAGTTTCACGCGATTTTCTGATGCAAACAGTGTGTTTGGGTGGCAGTCAAGACTACCCTAGCTGAAATTCTCAGAATTGAAGGCACATACACATAATTTTGTGCTCCTGTGAAAACATGGCGTCTGATTCAGTAAGTTTAGGTTGGAACCTGAGTTTCAGCAGTTTTATCAAGTGCAGCTGATGCTGCTATTCCAGGAATACATTTGACTGTCAAATTTCTATCTGCTCTAAACAACCGTGTGTTTTTACGAATGCTACTGATTTAATTTAGTGACTTGGAAACTTTGACTCACGATTGCATTCAGAGTGACTAGAATGTCACTTATATAGACAATCTGATTTCTCATTGTCTGAATAAACACCAAATAGTTCAAGGTAAGTATCTAACTCCTTTATTAGATAGTCAGATAAATGTCAGTAGAAAACAGGGAAGGTGTCACATGTCCTTTATGAATTACAACAACCTGTTATACAGTATATAAATATTTTGGCTTGGTTAGCTAAACAAATTGAATGAATTATGGATTTTAAATTATAAACAAAATTCCTAAGCAAACTGTAAGTGAGCATCACATTAATCCCAAACTAGGGAACAAAAATATGCTTTCATGTGATTGTTAGAACCTGTGTCTTAGTAGAAATTTCATGAGTACCTTGCTCATACTCTTCAGGGACATTCCAGAGTGTATAGCGTATGCTAAAAATCTGGTCAAAGGTGTCGAACTCTTGTTTCCTATTCTCTTCAGCTACAAGGTGTTTTGTTTTGCCCACATACTTATTTTTCAGTGTGAATATTCTGGCTAGAACAAGATACTATGGTCTCTACTAACTCCTATGTCTTAATACCAGCTCCTCAACTTGACTCCAGACATTGCTTCTTTGTGAGTGAAAAATGTGTTAAGATCATTTCTATTGATGTGTACATTGGCCTGATCAACCATATTGTCTGAAAAGCCAGGAAAAGTCTTACGAAGGCACAGGAGACTGGGTAGCTTAAATAATATTTTTTCTATAATTCTGGAGGCTTGAAGTCTAACATTAGAGTTTCAGCCCAGACAGGTTCAGAGGGTCCTCTTCTAAGCATCTCTCTCAGTACTTGGTCCCAAATGTAGAAAAGAGTCATGTTCTAATGTCCCTCTTTCTATAGTTGAGGCAGGTCTATGAGGATTCTGCCCACATGAACTCATTCAACCATAATCATCTTCCTAAAAGGCTCCACCCTTAATAGATACATTGAGACTCAGTATTTCAGCATGAAACCCTTGATATAAATGATAATATACTCATTTTGCAGCAAGCCTTGGTAAGCTTTAAGTTTAGTTAAAACAATGTAAATGTCTACCTTATGCAATTAGGGTTACTTCAATGGTTTTAAGAAGCCAATTGCTTTGCCTTTATTCTTTTTAGAAACAACATGAATTCTAATCTTCATCATTTTCTGTACTTGCTTTTCATTTGGTGTAAGTTAAGAGTTTATCCTGAAGTTAAATAACAAGCAAACTTTGAAAATCTCAAGTATCATTGTATACCTTTAAATAAAAGGAAGACAAGGGACTTAGAACAAATCTTCAAAAACTCAAAAACACAACTCCCAAGAAATAAAATAAAGGAGAAAAATAACATGTATATTCTTTTTCGCATATGTAATTTAATAGTTCAAGTGACTTGGATAATTTACACAAACTGCCAAGCAACCATCTCCATGTCTAATGTTAACAGGACAATCTACAGCTTGTAAATATTAGTATCATCATAAATGTCATTGGAGTCTAAAGAGTTGGACATTAATCAAATAATTCAGATTTTATAACTGTAGGCATTCTTTGATAATAAGATTCTTTACATGTTTGGCTCTAATTGATCTCCTGGCAGAAGTTCATAAAAACCAAGAAGCAAATGTTTTGCCTTTCACCTTGACACCTGGAAATTGATATGTCATTTTTACAATGGGATACTATACATCTTTTGTCACAATTGAAGAATGATTAATTTGACAATTCATCCCAGATTCCACATTATGTTTATGTGAATAAAATAACAGTATTTCGGGACTGTGGGCCTTTTGCAAATAGGAACTACTTTTGTGCACAGAGGTAGGGTCCTCTTATTGAGGTTTCTAGCACTAAAGAACTCCTAAGAAGCACACGGTATCCAGACAGGCTGAGCTCAGCATCTTTTTCAGGCATTTCAGATGTGCTGCCTATGACTTCATTAACATAATTGATTAGGAACTAGGACATATTTAGTATTAATCAAGCTGTTTTTAGTGAAGCTGATTATGCCGGTCCTCTTGATGCACTATTTTGGTCTGGAACTTCCTTAAGAATAACTTGAAAGAAAATGGCTTTGTGTGAAAAAGAAAATCTTGCACATGGCACTGAAGTGTACCATTTGTTCTGTAGAATGTGGGTAAATTGCAGAAGTGTAAACATGTTACAATGTTAATGTTTTTAAAGTAGTGCCTTTTATAGAGATACTAGATTATTACCTTCGCTCAAGAAGTTTGGAAACAACTTAGAACTTTTTCAATAGAAGCCTAAAAGCTTGTCAACCTTGCAGATAAAACTCTACATATCTATAAATCTCTTTTTATAAAAACAGTCTTTGTGTTTTCATAACACTTTGACAATGAGTTTCTTGCAATAGGTACTTGTTAGAGGGAAATCATTGTACTTCATATCTCAGGCCACTCATTTAGTGTCGTGAAGTTTTACCTTGCCTTCCTTGATTACTGTGTTCTCTCTGGCACATGCTTTGTATGCTGTAATAAAGTTTTATTGTTTTGAATATTTGAATACAAAGGGAACTAAATGCATATTAAATTATGTGCATTCTTTGATTCTTTATAAAATATTGGTCTTGGGAATATTGGTTACAATAGCTTTAAAGGGATCTTACCTAGTAATCAAATAAATAAATCATTTTGGCAACTGTTATCAATGTTTATTTAAAACCTGACATTTCTCAACTAGCACTAATTTTAAAATGGACCTAAATACAATATTAATTTCCATAATCTTTTAAAGTACATTAAATTTTGTTCTCACAGGGGCAGAGAGGCCCATAGATTCAAATGGTCACTGTAGTTATCCACAAATTATATAAAGATATAAGAATAATCACCTTTCCTCACTCAGAATAACTTTGTAATATTACATTCCAGGTGATATTACAACTTAGCATGGAAAACTTCTTACTCTCAAATATTGGTGAACATTTCCACCCACTTCTCCCAGGTAGACTTTCTCTGGAAGATTCAGGCTTTCTCTACTTTAACAGATTCCTTAGTAATTAAACAGGATGACTTCATTCAAAGTTGATCTCCATCTCCCTAGTCACTAACAATGTTAGAAAAAACTGTTTCCTAAAATCTTCAAATAAGCGAAATTACAAGATATGATCTCATTCATTTTTAATCAATAATTGTAGTTACTTTCTTCTTTTACCTAATTCACCACAACTCTCTGAAACCCCTAGTTTTGATCATTCATCACTGAAGAATGGAAAGATACCCTTAAACAAATAACAGATATATAATGTG